ATTGTGGTTTTCATTTGCATTTCTTTGATGATTAGTGATGCTGAGCATGTTTTCATATGTCTGTTGGCCATCTGAATGTCCTCTTTGGAGAAGTGTCTATTCGTGTCCTCTGCCCACTTTTTAATTGCATTGTTTCTTTGGGGGGGGGGGTGTCGAGTTGTATGAGTTCTTTATAAATACGGTCTTTAAAAATAAGGGGTATTAGTCTCTTATTGGATGTATCATTGGTGAATATCTGTTTCTATTCAATAGGTTGTCTTTTCATTTTGTTGATGGAAACCTTTTATTTATTATTTTAAAAAATAGGTTTTTATTGATTTCAGAGAGGAAGGGAGAGGGAGAGAGGGATAGAAATATCAATGATGAGAGAGAGTCATTGATCAACTGCCTCCTGCATTCCCCTACTGGGGATTGAGCCCGAAACCTGGGCATGTGCCCTGACCAGGAATGAAACTGTGACCTCCTGGTTCATGGATTGACACTCAATTACTGAGCCACACTGGCTGGGCAAGACCTTATATTTAGAATGTGTTCTAATATCTAGAATTATGCTCTACACATATTAGAATCTCAGTAAATTTAAAACTTTTGCAGTATTATCTTAGACTGAATTTAGCACATATTAGGCATTTAATAACTGTTGAATGAATAGGTGAGTGAAAGCTGTTATGGAAAATACCAAAGAGAATATCATATTATCAGATACCAAGATAATGTATAGGTACCTGAACTAATAAAATATAAAAGTATGGCTAGTTTTAAAATTGAATTTATTGGGGTGACATTGGTTAATAAAATTATATAGGTTTTAAGTACACAGTTCTGTAATATATCATCTGTATATTGTGTTGTGTGTTCACCACCTCAAGTCAAGTCCCATTTCATCACCATTTATCCCCAATTCACCTTCTTCTAAATCCCCCCCACACCCTTGTCCCTCTGATAATCATGATATTATTGTGTCTGTGAGGTTTTTAGTTTTGTTTTGTTTTTTGCTTAATCCCTTCACCTTTTTCACCCGGCCTCCAAACGAACACAGTTTATTTTTTATTTTATTGAACCAGAAACAGTGAAATAAGTCTTGAAAAAGAAGGAATTATCCTGTGTTCTAGGCTTGAGTTATTAGTGTTTAGAATCAAGGGAAGGACATTTTCATATAGAGAGGCCATTTTATGTGTAAGGTTGGGAAAATAAAGAGAAAGAAAGCTCAAAAACGAGAAAATATCAGAATAATTATGAGGTATATCTTAGAACTAGCAAGAAAGAACCAGCTTTGACCATGGCAAGGGGTAAGGAAACATTGACACTGTAGGACTTTAAGTCTTCTAAGGATGCCGAGGAAGAAGTTACATGAGTGTAGAGGGTAGATATGACATGCCTGACAGCTCCCCTCGTCTCATAGTGGGAGACCCACAGGGAGCTTTAATCCGTGAATGAGTCCTAGAGTTTTAGGTGGAGAAATGTCTGGGTTTAGTCAAATCTTATGAAAGAAGGATGGATAGGGTGATTAACAGTATTAATGATATTTCTGGTTTGGTAGTGAGAACAGCATTGAAATTTACCTCTCAAACGTAGGCATGAGGTTTCACATGGGAGTAGGTAAAAAACTTAAGTGTTGGGGAAGAAACTAGAGGTTTTATTTTTGTTTTTATTTTTAAAATTATTATTTTTTTAAATCTTCACCTGAGAATATGTTTTTATTGATTTTAGAGAAAGAGAGAGAGAAAGAGAGATAGAAACATTGATGTGAGAAACATCAATCAGTTGCCTTTTGTACGCTCAACAGGGAATTGAACCCAAGACTGTTCAGTATGTATGGGATGATGCTCCAACCATCTGATCCACACCGGACGAGGGCTATTTTTATTTTTTAAAAAATTTACCATACTACCTAGTTTATTGGTTTTCATGATGCTTTAGTAAATATGTTTCAAAAGTCCAGCAAACCAATCTTCAAGTATTAACCCATGTGTAGGTGCTTGGTTTAATTATATTTCAGTTTATTTAGGTGAAAAGTAACACTGAGAATTTGATTTTCTTTTAAAGATAGTTCTCAAGAAAAGAGTAGATAACTTATGGATGAATTATTGTCTTTTTCATTATGCTTATTTTTCATGTTCTTATAGATTACTATAGTCTTCCTTGGGCCAAAGAAGTCTTAAAGTTTCTCCAGACTTTTTGTAACTCACTTTGCTAGCTGTCTTATTATTACACCCATCACTTTATGTTTTTGGATTTACTGACATCTTTTCTAAAAACCTTAGGCTGAACCATATACTTTAGTGTGTAGTTGATTATGTTATATATAGAAGATACTACTTTATTCCATTTATGAGTGATAGCTTATTGGAGCATTCTAAAAGTGTAACTTGCTGTGTGCATATTAACATTCATAATGATTTGATCCATTGATAGTTCTAGGTTTGGGTCTGTGCTTTCACAGTGTTAAAAGTGTGCCTTGTATTTGAAAATGCAAGTACTAATATGGTCACTTTCCATATATGTGGAAATAAGTAGGAGGTTCAGATACACATATTAATCTTTTTCACTGCATATAAAGGTTCTTCCTTGGTTTGTAACTGCTAATTGCAGAACTTATTTGTGCATTTGCCTTACACTCCACTTGATACTTTTACTAAAAAGAGTTCCCGTTTCCCCTGTTTCTTTTTGCCTCATGCTACATTTTCATGGTGTCTTAGCAATTTATAAGCTTACAGAAATGTTGGAACTACTTTAGTGCCACTACGAAATAGGACAGAGCAGTTCAACAGATACTTATAGATGGTTTGCTATCATTTCACCTTGTCTCATACCCAACCCAAGTATGTCACTTTTAGTTCCTATCACTTTAGATGGTAACATGACTGTATGTTCCAAATAGTGATACCAAAAGAAGCCATAAAGAATGATCACTAGTACTATTCTATAACCTGATGGAATTATTAGCTGAATAATCATTTACATCATATTTTTTGTTGCAAGGTTCTCCTTGATTTGCGATTCTCATACTGCCTACATTCCAGGAATTTATGAAAGCTTTCAGTTCCTTATTTTGTTAGTCTGAAATCCCTGGCTTATGTTGCATTTTCCTCATGAACCCCTTTCACACAGCTGTGTCTTCCAACTTTACACTCTGAATCTGTAAGATGTTTATAACCTTTTGCATCTTTTTTAGTGTATTTTTAAAAAATGTAATCATTAGCACATTTTTACTTCCTGGATTATTATTAGGATTTTTTTTAAAGCTTATGAATGCATAAATTTATTTCTCATAGTTCTGGAGGTTGGAAGTTCTAAATCAGGGTGCCAGCATGATAGGATGCAGACTTCTTGTTGTGTCCTCACATGGTGCAAGGGTCAGGTATTTTTAATATATTTCATAGCTTGTTGAGTTGAAAGTTTCTTAGTTTTAAGATTCTTGTGTTTTCATTTCAAAAATAGAGTGAAAATGTAGCAGTGAGGGGTGGATGACTGAGCACCATCAATTCCTTATGAGAATTGACACTAACATTAGTGACCTTAGAACCCTGGTTACACAGTAAAACCACGATATAAGGGACTAATTCGGGCCAGGGGGTGTCTGTTAAAGCCAAAAGTACATTATAATAAAGTAGATTTTCCAAATGCATATTTAAAAAATTTGACAAATCAGTTTACCTGTTTTTACTTATATATACACATTTGTATAATTAAAATTATGTATGAAAAGTTTAATTTCACAGAAAAGTTTTCTGTGTGTATTACAGTAATTTTAAATTTATACTGAATAGGTCTAGTAAATGCGTGCATTGACCAGTCACTGAGAATAAACAAATGAATACAGCTGGGGGGGGTGTGGCTTAGTGCATGTGGGAATCATCTGGCACCAGCTAAAACTGCTACAGAAAGTCACGCCACTAGAGATAACAGAACCAATTACTGCGCAAGATGCGATGTGATCACATGCTAATCATTTGTTGAACATTGTTTATGAGCTGTGACTCTTGGATTTAAATATGTAGATATAGTTGTAGATATGTAATGTTTATGTTGATGAAATTACTACAGTGTTTTTTTTTGACATATGGCCTATTCGCTAAAATTTGTTAAAAATAACAGTGAATTAATAAAAAAAAACCTGTTAATTTAATTATAAGCAAATCTTGGTTAAAAGCATTTTAACATTAACAATGTTAATTTTCACATATGACATACGGACTGGAAATTTTGTCCATTAAATCCAAAGTCCGTTAAATTGAGGTCCGCAAAATCAAGGGTTTACTGTATCTTTTTTGGGACAGATAACTCTTCGTATCTGTGGGAACTGACATCTGAAAATAGGTAATATTGTTGATATCTTAATGTTTCTTGTAGTAGTACTATATTTATTGTGTAATTAGCATCATGTCTTGTACATAGCAGGAAGCCTAAACTCATTTGCCAATTCCATAAACAAATTTGGTGATGGTTTGTTGTAGAAGCCAGGAAAATATTGGCTAAAATATTGTCAAAAGTGTTGTGCTTAAAAATAACTGAAGTTTCATTATTTGTCTTACTTTTCTTTTGATGTGATTACCTTTTAGAATTTTGTTGTTTTCTTGATCTTTTGTAAATTGAGAGAAAGCCCATTGTGAAGTTAGAATACTCCTTTTATCCTCCAGTATTTTATTGATTTTTGGAATTTAACCTTTTTCTGTGCTTTTAACCTCAGTATCACTTCACTTCCTTATTCTGGTAGGTCTTATAATTAACCATTTTTTCGCAGGGCTTCTTTAATCTTTTTTTCCAGATAGATGCTTGTAAAATCTTAGTTTATCCCTCAGTTTATGTCCTCTTGGTTTTTATTTTTCAATTGCCCATTAATGAACTGAAATTCTTCAGTGAATTATTTACTTGCATACACACATAGATTATCTGGGGAGCCACATATATGTAGGGTTAGCAAAGAATTAAACATGCAATGGCATTTTGTCACAATGGATTGTGTTTATTTCTAAAATTGGCCTTTTTTTTTTTAACAGATAAGTGTAAAACAGGAAATTACTTTTACTGATGTATCTGAGCAACTGATGAGAGACAAAAAACAAATCAGAGAGCCAGTAGACTTACAGAAAAAGAAGAAACGGAAACAACGTTCTCCTGCAAAAGTAAGAGACTATGTTAAGGTGGTGGTCCCTAACCTGTTAATCCTGAACTGTTGGTTAACCTTATGGGCAGCAACCTTGACTGGACCATAAGGCAGATGTACAAAGTATCACATGGCTTAGTAAAGTTGGAATGTTGCATCAGCTTCCCTGAGAGGAAGGGATGCATGCCTGCATGGAGGTGGCGGGCCATTCCTTTCAATTTTTTCACTTTTCTTTTACCGTGCCTTTTTTCTAAAAACATTTTTCTTTCCCTATGTCCCTCTTCTTTAAAAACTGGCAGATGGTATGCAGTGCCCTGCTTTTCATTCATATTAATTTTACTTATTTTAATATTACGGTTTTAGGAAAACTCAGTACCAATTATTCATCAGGAAAAAGTTGTGGAATACCTGTATTAGAATAGAATGTAAGCTCCATGAGGGGCAGGGACCTTATTTTTTTCACAGCTTTATCCCAAGAGCCTGGAATAGTAGGCATAATAGATAATTAATATTTTTTGGGTGAATGAATGGGTAAGTAAACAAACAAGTGACCCAGTAAACGCTATTAGGAATTGCCTGCTTTTTTCCCCTCTTCAGTACAGTAATAGTTGACTATATGTAACGTTTTGATATTCCTGTAAAGTCTATGGACTCTGCAGTGTATTTACAGCTTTGTAGTTATTTTTCATCTTTTGTTTTCTTTCCTCATATAATGAAGAGGGCTTTTTAAAAAAGATTCTATTATAACATGGCGTTTTTATTTTGAGGGCTGTTTTTGCATATGTGATTTAAATCATAATTATCACTATTTATTATTTATATACTTTTAGACTCAGTAGTGTTCTAGAGCCAGCTGGTACTGGCTTGCCATAACTGATTGCTAGGTTTTCAGGAATTTTGCAAGCCAGTGCTAAAACCATTGGTAGCTTAAAATTAGTCACGGTGAGAATATTTACACCATGGAAATCAGTAAACCTTTTCCAGCCCTCTGACTTCTTAACCTGTTGTTAAACATTTACCACCATACCACTGCTTTTGGGGTATATAAGTATGCCTGTTATAGAAAAGTTTGAAAAATATAGAGGTGAAAATAACCCATAGTCATGTTTCCTGGAGATAAACTACCTTAATTTCCTGCCATATTCCCTTTCTATCTTCAAGTTTGTAGGTAGGTAGGTAGGTAGGTAGATGATAGATAGATAGATAGATAGATAGATAGATAGATAGATAGATAGATAGATAGATAGAATTTTCAGATTTTTAACACTTGAAGTGTTTGTAAGCTATTTAAAGTTATTAGTGGTTTTTATAAGGATATAAGGATATTACTAGCTGCATAATATTCTTGATATATCACATATTCAGTGATTATTTTGTTGAAAAGTTGTATTCTCTTTGCCTTTATTTTAAATCATGCCGCACTTAAAATATTTGTGTATAGATATTTGTGCCCTACTGAATCAGAGGCCGTGAACTTTTGAAACGGTTTCTTGATGATGTTACTCCTACCAGAAATGTTGTACCAGTTGCTAATTGCAGTGACCTAAGGTGTGTCTGTCTACAGCCTCATCAGCCTTGAGTATGAGACCTTTGCTTTTTTTTGTAGCTTAAGATGGGCATCTCAGTATAGTTTAATTTCTTTAGCTATTGGTCATACTAAATTTGGTTTGTTTGGTTTTTCCCCCATAATCGTTGGCATTTTATATTTCATGTTTTCTGAAATCCCTCCCTCCTTTTCTTTTCTTGGGGCTGATGTTTTTCTGGGCAATTTATATGATACTTTTTGAATGTTTATTTATATTAATGAATAAATCAGATTCTTCATTATAGAACAATACCAGGTTTTGGGGGGAAATTAATTTCTAAAATGGTTTGTGATAGTGTTGCATTCACTGCTGATCTGTGAGGAATTTATTTCAGGTCTAAAAACAACATAATATATGTAAGTTCTACATTTTCTTTGATATTTTATTGCCATATTTTCCAAGTACTATTCTTCAGTGTAATGTATTCTGAAATTCTGACTAAAACTCAGGCTGTTATCTTCTAGTAGAGTGTATTTGGTAGTATGTTCTAGGTGTTTGTAAGTAGATTAGATTTTTATAGAGTTTAAGCTGTTTTCCTTTCTATTTGAGATAAATTCATTTATAGTGTATTACTTTATATTTCTAAAGGTATTATTTAAGTATTTATATAATCTCCGTAGTTGCTAGGTGAAAGATTTGGCTTAGTCTAACTATATTTTATATAAGAAAATACTTTGGGGAAGTATTTTTAGGGAATTCTTAGGAGGTGAAATGACCAGAAATAATGTATGGCAGACGGAAGTGCGAGAATACAATTATTTTTAAATTGTTTTGGCATGTCACATATAATGGGACATGGAGCTGTTGTGGACTGTTTTTAACACAGGTCCGCAGTCTCCAGATAAATGCTTTTTGTATCTGGAGTTTTAGAACCTTGAGGCATAACTAATGAGTTATTTTACATTCTCAGGCTTGTGTTTAAAAATTCATACTTCTGATTTTTTCATTAAACTCTCACTTCCCTTTTGTATGAACAGCAAGAAAAATTTAACTCACATTTATAAATCAGTGTGTTGCTTGTTTTAAATTCCTTAAAAACAACTTGAATTTTATTAAAGAATTGTAATTTATTATGCTTAGAGGACTCCACCGTCCCCCAGCACCTTTCCCAAATCTTGAATTTTTCCATTATGAGTACTTTGAATATGTGTTACCATTGTGTCATGCGAGAGTGGCGATCTGTACAAGAAGTCTAACTAAAGTAATGTGATAGACTTCTGGTAAAAATATCAGCGCTTACAATATCCATATAAATGTGGTACACTTCCAGATAAGCTTTGTGGTGTGAAGTACTGTATTGTTAGGTCATCTTTAGCTGCCATGGACTTTAATTAATAATTGCTTTTTTAGCCTTTATCATATGGCAGAGTCTAGTCATCTTAAGGTAGATTTGATGCTTGAAAGTTGCCAAAATACATTTGGCATCAAGTTTGTAGAAGAGGGTGATCAAGCTAGGAAATTTTACCTAAGTCAAATTATTTGATACTATCATAGAATAAGATGTTTTATGAAAGTAAAATTTTCATATTATAAGAGTTTATCATTTTTAAATGTCAAATTTTATTTTATTTTAGCCACTTTGGTGGAAATCTTTAATGTGTTTTCTTTTTAAATATAGTACATTTGAACATGACTCAGATATCTTAGAGTTGATGTTGTAAACATTTTTTAAAAAGTGTATCTATTGTAATGAAGCCCTCTGGGAGGACTGAGATATTAGGTCCTTTTTCTCCCCTTATTCTGAAAACTCTTGACTGCTAGATTCTGTTTCTTGACTGCTTATAATAGCTTAGCTGTCTCATTTCTTAATGACATGCTATTCATTTTTACATTGCTGTACCTATGTGGCCACTTAACATTATATTCCACTGCCCCTTTGAGTCTGTTTTTATTTTGTTGTGGATTAGGACTACAGAGCACTAAAGGTATTAGAAATGTATGAAAAGTCTCACTGGACTTAATTCTCTCTTAGTGCATTCATGTCAGTGGCTCTGCATTAGTTACCTGTAGAGCTTTTCCGTTTATAAATACCAGGCCCCATCCCTAGTGGTTTTTATTTGGAGGATTTCCACTTACGCTTTAAAAAGTCCAAGGTGATTGTGATTTATGTTAAAGCTTGAGAATCCCAAGTCTTGATACTAGAAGTTTCTGGAGAAATGAGGTATTATCACCTGACTTGGGTGTTGACTTGTTAGGTGTTTAGGAGATAATGTTTCCCGCCACAGAAGATTTTATGATGATAACTGAGTTAACGTTGATGAACTCTAAGAATCCTTTTCAGTAAAATATAACAATATTGTCTTAATCCAGTACTGTATATATTTTATAGGTCTTTCAGACTTCTTAGTAATTGAAAGAAATAGAGCCAGGGTACTTATTAATTCCTTCCTTCTCCTTATTTTGAAATGTAACTCCTTTTTTACTCTGTCAGCAAATACTTTTCATGTTTATGATATGCCAGGATCTCTTTCCAAATAAAGGAAACTGGGATTGTTTGTTATAACGCTGTAGGTGGTCTGACTAGAAATTGATTATTCAAAGTTATGCTGAACTCAGGAAGGAAGAGCATAGTCCACAAATCAAATTGATTATAAATTGCATTGAGAATCCTTTCCTGGCAATTTATTATACACCATTGGTTCCCAGAAAAGATTTGTGATTTTGGTATGAAAAATATTTTAATTTGAATGTTAGAAAATGAGGAAATTTTAATTAAAAGCAGAGAAATAGATAATACTAGGCATTTTTCATACTTTGTCCTATATGCTAACATGATTGTGGAAAAAGTGGCTTTGAAGATGAAGTACTGATTATAAGACTGGGGGTGGAAATAGGAAATAATACTTAAGAGAAAAATGAAGAAGAAAATTAGTAAAAGAAGGCATTAGTATTTTAGTTATATAATTCCACCATGGAATTATATTCTGACAAAACAATTTTTTCATAGAACTGAACTCCAACTTAAAAATATTTCATTAAAATCCTTCTTTAAAAAATACCACATAATTCTTTGCTTAATATTTAGAAAACCTGAGAGAAATAGCCTTTTCTAAAACTCAGGGTTGTTATGCTGAACATCTCTTCTTGTACATGCTTATGCTACTGTGTATTTCATGTTCTGGCACCGTCAAAAACTTGCCATTTAAAAAACAAAATTTGGTAATATGTGAGCATGGGACTTAGAGATGACTAGGATGTCAGAATGTGGTGGTTATTGCCCTGGACAACTTTATTATTCTGTTGTATGACTTTGGGGTTGCACTGTTCTTCCATTTCTAATTGGGTTTGAAGAATAAAGAGAATTTCAGAAGATCTCACTTCCCACCCCGTTTCAGCAAAATAACAGATAGTAGGTGAGAAATTTAAACTATTTTCTCTAAATTATCTTTTGGTGGTTTAGAGATTTAGATTGACTTAAGAATGTATGATAAAATCTATAATCACTAGTTTGAAAAATGCTTTAATAATTTTGGTAGTTCATAGATACAGTATACATAGTATAGAATGGGAAAATCTCCTCTGCCTTTTAAGAGAGCAAAACTTCTCACTGAGAGGTGTCAGGTTTCACTTATTCAGTGGCAGTGACCCTTGAGGACTAAAAAATCTCTGAATTGAATAGTGCTTTGCCTGACTAAATAAAGTTGGTATATTATTTAAGATAACCATCACTATATGTATAGGTATCTAGCTGGGTACACATTTAGCTCAGAACAAAAACATACCTACTAATAGACCATGAGATAGATTGGTTGAGTTCCATTTGGCGCTGAAATTTTTTACTGAAAAATTGTTTTAAATTTATTAAACAATTAAGAGAAAAATAAGGTATGTTGAGTATTTAGATTATTACTAATTCTGCACTCTTGATAAAGCCTGATTGCTTGGTCTTTACAATATATCACATTTCTTCAAAGGTATCAGTGACAGGAGGCAAGATAAATCATGTGGAGATGTAATAGGCACCTTAGGACTTAAATTTTGAAATTTCAAAGTCTTTAGTTGTAATGTTCTTTTGTTGAAAGGAAAAAGAAAAGCAGAAATATTTTGATACTAGTAGCAAGTAAGACTGCTAATCTCTAAGGCAAATGTACTTAACTGGTAGGTCACATTCTACTAAAAGATCTTGAAAAGGGGGGTGTGAACAAGAAAAAAGAAGCCAAGTCTATACCAAGGAGGAAAATTTTGCCTGCATTAATTTGCCATTTCTCTTCCACTATGGGACTTTGTTCTTTACATTTACCTCTCTGTGGCTCTACTTAGTGACTTTGAAAAATTGACAAGTATTACTTCTTATAAGAAGTTTTAAAAAGAAAAAAGTGGTAAGTTTGTGAGGATGTTTGTTCTGGATAGCTGGTAGCCACATCAATAGACATGTATAGCATAGCATCTCACTATGTTCCAGACCCCGTTTTGGACATTGGGTTTATGAGTAAAACAGACAAAATTAGGTAGTTACATTTTAAGACAGATTACAAATTAGAAGAGCCACTGGCCGTTTTCTGAGGCACGATGAATTTTACTTTGTGTCCTTTATACAAAGATGTTTGTTACTCTAGCCTAAAAAAAGAAAAAAAAGTAAGTAAATATAAAATGCCTAAGAATTTGATTTTTCTGTCTTTGAACATTATAAATATGCTAGATTTTTCAGTCTGCTATTCACAATCCAGTGTTAGCTATTTCATCCATAAAATCCACCTTGAATTAAGGCTTGAATCCACAATGAAAAGCAGCATTACCTCCAGAGACAGAAAACAATGACTTAGAACTCTTTAAGTCTTCATAAAAGGGCTTTGTACCACCAAGGATTGCATCCGTTTCACATTAAGTAACTTGGGCCAGATTTGTTCCTCACAAAGCCTTTCCTTGCAGTTGCTACGCCACAGAAAGCTATTGAGCTGCCATGTTTTTTGGCACATGGATCTTCTTTTTAATCAACATATGTGAAAAAAATACCTGGTACTATGTTGTTTTTAGTTCTGTTTTATATAAAATGCTTAATATCTGTTATTTTTTATGTTAGAAATATTTTAAATCATATTTTAAAACCTTTTGTTTATTTTTTGTTTTATACAATATTAACTTGCATATTATTTTGTGACTTGGAAGGGTTGAAAAAATTTTTAACTGACTGGCTAGAGATGAAACTTTTCATTCTCACTGACTCTCTTCAGGAAGCTGTGACACCCACTTCCATTCTCCTGCCAAATGTTTCCCTCCGACTCTGGTGCATAGACTTTGAAGCATTGTTGACCATGTTGGCAGTTTGCCCAGAACCCAAATGCCCTGTATAATTTGCGTAATAATTATCATTGATTTACATACAGTGTAGGTGAATTGTCTTTCTAAATTTAAAGTAAAAGAATATTTTAAAATGTTTAAAGCCTTTGTTCCTTACCTGTTCCCCTTTTCTAGGATTGAGAGGAGGTCATAGTTGTGTATTTATAGGCCCTTCATATTTTTAAAGATGTTTCCTAGGTATCTCTATGCCTTATGGGCACCGTTCCTTAGCTCGCACTCTCTATGCCCCCACCTCCAGTACTGTTTGCCTCTCAGTTGCCATGCTTCTCCTGATTTTCTAGCTTTATTTGCTTATCTTCAAGTCGTATTCTGCCATCTTTCTTCTCTCCTCAATGCTGAAAAAAGGGATGGTTGATTATTTTTATTCTGCCACCTGTCTGGTAAAGGGAGGCAGTTGAATGTTGCTCATTGAACAAATAGTTGATAAATTGGAATACGTGAAGCCTAAATGTGGCTTCTCTCTGGCACTGTCCAGCCCAGGCCCACACTATTTTCAACTTTAAGAAACCCAGGAAGATAAAGTTGCTTTCTTGTCACCTGTCTTCCTTTCCCATACCCACTCAAATTTATTTATCCAACAAATATTTTTAGGAATATTTTTAATAATAGTTTAATAGTCCTAGAATAACCTTAGAGATCCTGGACTGAACCAGACTCTAAATTCTATCCTAGGGTGACTTGAAAACTTTGTTTTCTCATCTTAAAAAAAAAAAAAAAAAAAAGGAAAATGTAATAGGCAAGCATTTTATGTGGTTTAGAGAAGTGTTTTAAGTATGTTCAATGTAAGGCTCTCTCCCACCTTATCTCCTACCTGCCATGTTCCTCATCCATCACAACTGAGGTTATATACACTTTGTGTACATCCTTCTCAAATACATTTTATGTGTACACAAACATACACACACACACACACCTATATGTACCCTTTTGTATATAAAAATTAGAAGAATTATATACTGGATTCTAAACCTTGCTCTTTTTACTTACTAAACCCTGGACCTCTTTCTGTATAAGTAATAAGAGAGCTTTCTTATTTTACTTTATAACCACATGATATTAAATTGTATACATTTTCCATGATTTATTTAACCAGTCCTATCTGATTGATATTTATGCTATGTCTAAAACATAAGACTTTTGTTCTGCGTATGTGAGAATAAAGCTACACTCACCCTAACAGAGAACACTTAGGGATTCTGTTAGACATCAGCTTTGGAGGAAGGGGCAGAGTACTGAGATCTTACTTAGCTACCTTCCAAGGTTTTATTAGCAATCTTTACCCATTCTGAGTCACACTGTGCTTTAAATTAATGATAACATTATTTAACAGCCTTTTCAAATTTATTTAGGAAAAAAAATATTTCATAATCTCTGGTGACCATTGTTTGCATTAAAAGGCATTCTCTTTTTTATACATTAGTGTTACGTTTTTAAAACTTCTTTCTTTTGTTTTTGCCTTTTTTTTTTAAACTAGATTCTTACAATAAATGAGGACGGATCACTTGGTTTGAAAAACCCTAAATCTCACGTTTGTGAGCACTGCAATGCTGCCTTTAGAACGAACTATCACTTACAGAGACATGTCTTCATTCATACAGGTATTACAGTCATTAAAATTATCTTTGCTGTTTTCATCTTCGTGTAAATGTCATTTATTCCTAAGACCATAGCAACCTGGCATTTCAAATCAGAGATTTCATAAGGCTAAAATGTCAGAAGGAAACCAGGAAAAACTTTAAATGAGAAAACAATTAGCTGTGGAGGTGCAAAATTAATTAATCTTAATTGGACACTTATTTGGCTTAATGTATTCTTTTTAGCTAGAGAAACAGTTAAAGAATGTATTATTAAAAGCCTGTCAGCATTTATTTTTCTATGTAAGACATCCAAGTGGAGTTTGAAATATGAATTTGGGAATCAAACATAACAATGATAATTAAGAACATGAAGTTGTAGAGGTTAGAACTAAAAGACTGATCATAGATCTTTGGGAAAACAGATTAGACATGTAGACTATATTAAGGGGGTCGGGGAGAGACTGTAAAAAGGTAGTTTTAACAAACTAGGAAAATACAGTTGTTTCAGAAGACAAAAAAAGAGACGACCAGGGAGGGTATGGTCAACAGTGGCACAACCTTCAGAGAGCATAGAGAACTCAGAACAAAACACATTAGAATAAATAGCAAGGAGATAATGAGTAGCTTTTAAGAAAGTGGAGTGTAGGGTTAAACACAAGTGGGTAGTGAAGAGTTTGAGACATAGGATAGACTTTTCTTTCAAGAAGGTGTGGTAAAAGGAAGGAGTGTTTTAGAATTTCTGGAAAGTTTCTTTGCATAGAGCAGACCAAAAAATACTTTCCTTAAAAGGAAAAGCTCCAACAGAGAGGGAATGGTTGAAGATAGAGGATTTTTTTTTTTTAAGGATGTTTAGAAAGTTCTGAAGGTTCTGGAGAAAATAAGTAAACAGGCATAAAGTGATGGTTAGCCATGGAGAGCAACATGGGGTGATCTCCAGATAAAAAGGAAGATGTTTAAGACACTAGATAACCTGCAGAGTTCTAGCCTCGTGGTTTTTAAATTCTATTTTAAGTTGTTTATTTGCCCTTTTTTTAAATCCCTTGAAGGCTATAGATCAGATTTAGTCTCATTTTTGTGTGATTGAGATGATGTGAATTTTAAAACCTTGGGGAAAAATTGAGAGGAAGTAAAATTCTCTTAAGTTAATGAATAGTTTAAAACATTTGTATGGATAATTTGGAATTTTCTAAATTTGGGCTTCTAAGATCAGTAACTCTAAACTGTGTTTTATCCAGTAACTAATTTGTGGATGTGAAATTATTTTAAGGTGAAAAACCATTTCAATGTAGTCAATGTGACATGCGTTTCATACAGAAGTACCTGCTACAGAGACATGAGAAGATTCATACTGGTGAGTGTTGCCACCCTTACTAGGGTCATTAAAATTACCATTTCAAATATAGGGAAGAATTTTTAATGAGTAGCAACAACTTGTTGCCACTTTCATTAGTTTTATTTCTAAAGAGTATATGTCATAGCTCATCTCTTTTCTTCTTTCAATAAATCAATGTTAACTGTTAAGACTTGGCTTTAATGTCCAAGCCCAATAAATTACCTTGAAATAGGGTTTTAGAATAACTTAAAATATATTTAAAATGACAAAAGGAAGTTTTTGTGAAATAGTTGTTTCCTTAGATGTTTATTTAATAAGTTTAGAGTAGGTAAAATTAGCATTTATATTAAATAGCCTAGGGGTGGGAGGAAAGTGTTTCAGCCTTAAGATAGCAGTACTACTTTTTTTCTTACTATTTCACGTATTTAGCTTGCTGTATCAAGAAAATTGTGATCCTAATACGTTGGAAACTTTCAGTTTTTCAGTTAAGTTGTTAATGATTTAGAAACATATTTCAGAAGATCACTGTTAAGGAACCCATTTTGGAGCAAACATTTATTTATTTTTGGCTAGTTCTATATGTAATCTTGATTTAGTAGACTGTTAACTTTTGACTTTTGAGGTCTCTCAGCATGGTAACAGTGTTCCTTTAGAATTTATTTTCAGTGTTTTGCTTTTTGTGAGATTATAAAAGTAGAGTTGGTGAATTTGCATAACTTTGATTCTTACATTTAAGTAGAATTGAGAATGATGGTGATAATATATGAATATGAAAAATATTAAAGTTCTTCATATTTCTCTATATTAAGTACTCAAGCAAGTGCCTGCTGGGGGGTGTTATTTAGATATGTTCTCATGGTACCTGCAGTACCTTTTCTGCCTAGTAACTTCCCTTACTGTTCTGTGCCCGTAACAAGGAAACATGAATGTGGCTGGTCTCCTTAAGTAAAACTGCAACTCTGCAGCATATCTATATGCTTTGATGTTCTACTTTTCAAAGATTATTATTATGCGCATCACCCATTTCAGTTTCTTAAGAAAACATTTATTCATCACTTCCAGATGGAAGGGAGTATACTAGGTACTTTGGGGAAAAGAACAACTTTTTCAATTATGACTTATAGCTAAATTTAACATTTTATATATTAGTAAAGCCTGATCAGATAATGATAAGTGAAAGTGGTTAACTATTTTTGTTTGTTTTTAATACCTCTTAGATTTGGATGATTTACTCATTCATTCAAAAAATTTTACTGAGCCTTCAGTATTTTTTAGGTACCAGAAATATGGAGGTAATACAAGGCAGTTTTCTTGGAAAGGAAGGGGGGAGAAGACATTGATGTGAGAGAGACACATCGACTGGTTGCCTCTTGTATGCCCCCTACCAGGGTGGGGTATGAACCTGCAACCAAAGTATGTGCCCTTAGCGGAAATCAAACCTGGGACCCTTCAGTCTGAGGGCTGATGCTCTAACCATTGAGCCAACTAGCCAGGGCTTTTTCATAGCTAATTTTTAAGTTGATAATTTTGTATGGCCCGCGAATGATGTTATAAATATCCAAATGGCCCTTGACAGAAAGAAAATTCCCACCTCTGGTTTAGAAGAACGCATTGAAATAGTTACTGCAATTAAAAAGATTTTGCATATGTTTGTCTATTTTTAAATTGTCAAGAAGGTAATGAGTCACCTACCATTGATCATGATCCTCAAAGGATGTGTGGTGAGAAGAGCTACCAGTTCTTACAGGCGCTATTTTCCTTAAGCCTCCCTCATCCTTTTAGGTCTTAGTATACTGTCTCCTCCAGTCAGTCTCCAGCCCCCAAGCCCATTTTCTCCTCTGTTTGTAACATGAGTAAAAAGAATTACCTGCTTGGCTGCTCTTGTCACCAATAAAAAAAAATCCTCTGTGGCCTTTAAAAACCAAGAACCTAGCTTGATTTCGTTTTCAAATAGAAAAATTTTAAACTCAGCCGGGACAGACTATCACTGCTCTTTCCAAATTTAGGCTAGCCTACCAAATACCACTTTAAGCAAGGGTACTTTTTCATCCTAAGGCTGATACTTAAAGTTCTGGTTAAAGCTTTGTTTCTTTGGCCTAAGTCATTGAAAACTGTCAAAATGCAAATATCCTTGGGATTGCTATTTTTGGCAGTTATGGGAGATTTATATCTTGTGAATATATTATATAGATCTTTTGTTTAAGATATATTTGGGGATATGGGAGAGAAGGTGAGGACTTGAAGTGAACGTTGAAGATAATAATCCCAATAGATCTTTGTTTAGGGTCAGAATTACTGCTCAGGTACACACCATGGTTAAACATTCATCATCACTGGAAGATTTACTTTGTGATCAGGTGCCTTTAACTAAGGTGCCTCCTCTTCTGTATTTTCAAATGCATATGTAGAATAAACGTTAGAATGACATGTATCTAGTTGTATTCTTTTCTAGAGGAAAATCTTGTCACCATTTTACTGTAAGGAAAAGCCAGTCTTATTACCATGGGGAGAGAGTGTGGATTTAAGGAATAAAGAACTTAAGTACAATTTTCAGTATTTTATTTTAATTTTCTAAATTCCTCTAAAGAGTAAGTCACAGACTACCTATCCTGATATTCTGACTATTATTACAAATTATGCTTGTTTTGTACAGTGTGGCAGTTTTCCTAACTTATTTTTTATTTCATTAGTAAAAAATGTTATGAAACCATTTTTGTCTTTAGGGAAATTTTTATAAGTTGACTTTATAAATCCTTCCAAAAATAAAAGGGATTTTGAAAATAAGCCAAATCATTTAGAATTACGCATATACATTAGGTTTCTTTTCCCAAAAAGTGTTTTTAAGGCTTTAGTTCTTGAATATGTATAATTTTATAGATAAAAATGTAGTAAATTCTAGAAAACATCTAAGTAAGCATTTTTCACATCCAAAAACATGTATTGATCGTTTTTTCCTCTTAACTATGACTTTTGCTCACAACAGTGTTAAATTGCTGAATAATAGCATTATTATTATTTTTTCTTTTTTGCTAAATCCCCACCCCCACCCAGCTGCATTATTATTTTTTAAACCAGTTGGGTTAGTGGGGTGAAGTCAGAGAGAATGTTGATTCACCCTTGACTATGTCAGCTCAACACTTTGTATTTCCTTCACTATAGTTCAGTTACTAATAAAAATTACAGTTTTCCTCTCATTTTGATGCTCTAGTTTATAGTTTATAAGCTATAATGGAGAAACCTTATTAAAATAAAATGTTACAGACCCAGTTAGGGTTTCACTCTTATTTGGAAGATGGAGGAGCTGAATCCTGTTTGTGCTACCTAGAGCCTTGCCTGCAGTGTGAGCTCCTGGCATTGAGACTGCTGAAGCCAGGCAGCACTGGCATGGTCAGGGCTTGACTAGAGAGAGTAAGCAGGGAAGCACACATTGCTGTGACAGACATTCTCTGCTTTAACAAAGCTTTCAGAAACCAGATTTTTTTTTCCCCCTCTAGTAAACTATTAGCAATTCACACTAAAAGATTTGATTACACATAAAACGCATATAAAAGTTTCACACTATATAACAAACATCTCAGTAAAGATATAAAAGAAATCATACATACACGTACATATAAAACACTGCATCATACTTAAAGGTTTTCTGTTTTGGGGGTGGAGATGAGAGGAGAAGTCGTCCAGAAAATTAACTGTATTTTAACATTATGCATTAGAACTGAAATATGGAGAATCAGAGAGGCTTTATAATGAAAATTGCCCAGTTTTCAATTAAGTGTCTATGTATGTTTTGTGTGTGTGAGTACCCCTTTCCCTCAGATTCATATAAAGTGTTCTTTGTTAGTTTATAGTGTCTATAGTTTTGAAAAAATTGTTGTCATTTATTTTGACAAGTCTCTAGTTCAACAAATCTCCTGAAGTGGTCTCATTCTTATTTATGTATCATCATTGAATGAATGAAGGAGTGAGTTGTGATTCACAGTTTCTCAAATCCTATAAAGTAGTACTGAACCAGTGCTTTGGCAGTTGAGATGAATTAGACCATTGAGGATTCAGATTGATCGCTTCATGGAAGTGGTAGAACATAACTGGCCCTGTGAGGTAGATTTAGATTTTGTAGTCCATGTGTTCCATGGGAGTCAAGTGTCATCGCAGGAACTGTAGGTGGTAGAGCAGAAGCATCACGGAAGTCAGGTCCAGGAGAAAGATCTGGGGTGTACTGAAGTTGGGAATCTTTGGGAAAGGATAGGTAAATTGGTGGTAGACAATCAATTCAGAAACCATGGAGTAGCAAGTTAAAAATCAGGCAGACAGGCAGACACCAGGACAGTTATAGATTCTGGATATCAAGACAAGTGTCAGATATGCTTGTTTAAAAGAACCAGATGGAGTCAGGTACTTGCAGATAGTTAAAAGGCTAGAAATTCCTGATTCCTTACTTTCTGTCATATCTCAGCTGCGGAATGCTATTTACAGCAAAATTTCATTCAGGGCTATTGCCTGTGGCTTGAATCCTTCAGTTCACCATGAAAAATGTGCACAGATTTTATGTGCGACACCACTCACTTCTCAACAGATCATCCTGCTTGACTTTAACAAAAGAAATAGTGTCTTTGAGTGGGGGAAAAAGCTAGAAATTCCTAAGAAGTCATCATTTTCATAAACCTATGAATACTGTCAAATAAATGTCTTGAGTACCTATTCTCTGCCAAGCACTCTATTAAACACAATACATAAATTATCTTTGTTCTCACAGAAATTCTGTGAGGAGGGTACTATTATTAATTTTATTTTTTTTATAGATAAGAAAACTAAGGGTCGCAATGATTAAGTGACTTGCCCCAGTGTGCACAACTGGTTAATGACACAGTCCAGGTCTTAGCCAGTATGCTATTGAAAGGGTAGATCCAGCACCAGGAACATTTCACAAAAACTTGCGGTTTTAAACATAGAGGTTTTTATTTTGTTCAGGTAAGAGTAGAGCCACTCCTGGACCTGAGCTTGTGGGTAATGGGTATGCCTGCTGAAATGAAGTCTGTGGATATAGGAGTAAGAGCAAATTCCAGCTCGTATGGGATGAACAAAGGCAAGATGGCCATTCTGAGTAGAGCAGGAAGGAGTGGGTGGAATTGGAATGAGGAGGTAAGACTGGAAGGCTTGATTTTAGTTACATTGTCAAGCCTTGATGCCATCTAAGGAGTGTCAGATTTATCCTATGAGTATTATAAAAAACCAGGGCATTTAACTCCCATTTTGGAAGAATATTATTGTTTTGTAAAGAAAACTGGAAATTTGTTAACTGTTTTGTTAACTATAATTAATATGAAAAATTATAATTTCAGCTAATTGCAAATTTATTAGTCAAGTTTACTTTTTAGGTATTAGAATTTAAACAAATGAAACAACATTGTAAGCTTCAAGGAATTTAGTATTACTTCAGTTTTGACCAGTTTATGAGAAACAGGTAACATTTGGAAACCACAAACAGTACTGTGAAATAAAAAATGCTTTTTGGACTTTGGATCCTCTTCATTTTTGGACAGTGTAGGATGCACTGATTTTCAGAAAAAGAGCTGAAAGAGGAATACTCAGATTTAACTTTAACAGAATTTCCTAAGTTTTAAAAAAGTTACTCTGAGAGCAGTTTTTTCATTTTTGGTGTTTTGATTTTTTGTGTTTTCTTTTTTAAAATTATTTTTGTTCTTTAAAGAACATGGTTAGTCTAGACCAAGTAAGTTTCTTTACCCTTTCACTTGTTAGTTTGCCTTCCTTTAATATGGATTCTTCCCTGCTCCCCACCCCCACATTATTTTACATTCTACAAAAGATGAAGCATAAGACATCAGAGTCTAGATCTAACGCTTTGTTTTACAACTCCTTTCACACCATATCCTTTAGGAAAAGTACCCCATTACTTGCTTGAGACTACTGGATTATTATTTAGGAGGAGAATTTGCTCAGTGGCTAACCAGTATTACCTAGCTTTTTATGATATTAAAAAGAGAAAGATTGCAACCAAGAAATAGACAATGGTAACAGGCCATTTTAGCAGAATAACAACATTTTTGGTCATTTATTTATTATTTATTTATTTATTTATTTTTTAAAATATATCTTTATTGATTTCAGAGAGAGGAAGGGAGAGGGAGAGATAGAAACATCAATGATGAGAGAGTCATTGATCAGCTGCAGCCCGCAACCCGGGCATGTGCCCTGACCGGGAATCGAACCCTGATCGCCTGGATCCTAGGTCGATGCTCAACCGCTGAGCCACGCCCGGCTGGGCACATTTTTGGTCATTTATCCCGTTGTATTTCATGTAATGTTTTGTATTTGCAAGCTGTTATATTGGCATTGTTTTTACATTTTGGATGACAGTTCCTGGGTGGTAAATATGTTCCTGAATATTTGGATTAAATCATTGTGCTGAATTGAGAAGCTACTACTTCTGTAATAGTCTGGATTTACTTGCTAATCAGTGCTTGGGTTTTAGATTAATTAATTAGCTATTAATACTTTTTTCCACTGCAGGAAAGTAACTTCTGAAACGAATCTCAATCATTATTTTTTCTTCCTCATTGAAACGATTGCTTGTATAAAATTTCTTAGGAATGCCACTGTCATACTCTGATGAGGGCCTGAATTTATGAACAAGACATTGACTAGAAATTGAATAAAATGGGTAGAAAGACATTTCAAAGGAAAAAAAAAAAAAAAGATGAAATTTAACAACAGTTTAATCAGAAGGAACTAAAGGACTAAAACTAGTATAGGGTAATGGTCTTTAAGCTTGTATTGTGGAACCCAGATTTTCAGATGAAATCCTATGTGGAACAACATTAATAGTCAACTAAAAAAACAAGGCAAATGGTTCCAAGTGGTGTCCTTGGCTTTTGGTGAGTTGAATTATCAGTACTACTCATTTGTTATTTATCCAAGGAGACAAGGCCAAGTTTGAAATGACTGGAGAATTAGCTGCTGTGGAACAAGTATAAAGAATATTTTCAAAAGGGAATTATACACTCTGGTTGAGTTGCATGCTGTATGAATTGAGTCTCAGTAATTCTTAACAAGAATACGTGATAAAACATTATTTCAGTGTAATCTGAAATGGATTCTGCTAAGATGTGTTACAGCTGACTGTCTGAGAAATGTGTGGAGCAGAAAAAGTTTAGTTGGACTAATTTACAAAGCTTGAGAAAATATAAAGCATTTAAAGCATATGGATATTGAGCAGTACTTTGTGGAACATTTGAATATATTATATGTCATTGGACCAGTAGTGTCAACTGTGAACTTCATTTGCTCTAGTGGGTTTAACCATCATTGGTTCCATGAATTTTTGTCTGATATGGAAACTGGATATCCTCACTTATTTTATACAGCAGTTTAATAGCTTAGAATTGGTAAAAGTTTTATTGGGAGTTTTTGAGTGTAGAAAAAAGGTTAAAATTTCTCTGAATGAGAAGAACCACTCTCAACCACTATTATTGAACACTGAAGAATGGCTTTGGAAATTAGCTTTTGCTGAAGACTCGAAAATGTTTCTTAATAAAGTCAGCCTAATATGAGAAGGGGAAAACGATGCTTGTAGTGAAACTTCTACCGTGGTTAAGTCCTTTTGACAGCTGCTAAGGTTGTTTAATCACAAAATGCTGCTTTATACACTTCCCTCCTTACAAGTTACAGTAAGAAGCAAAACCTCCATCCCCACACATATAGGGTAGATATACTTTCTAAGCTCAAACTACACTTCTATCAGTTTTTGGACCGTGATGCAAGTCGATATTTCAAAATCCATTAAACTGTAACTCTACCTGTCTTCATTTGGAAGTAATTAATCTGCAATGTAATGACATGCTAACAGGTAAATATCAAGAGAAAAATCTAATAGAATTCTATAAATGCCTTCCAAGTGATGAATAATTCTTAATTAAAAGTATGTTTTTATGGATTGTTATCAGTATCTGTCTTTGTGACAAGACAGTTTCAAAGATAGAATATGTAAAATCTCATGCAGATAAGTATTAGCAGATAAACATTTACAATTGACTGATGATAGAGAACATTAACTTTAAACCCCAACTTGGCAGAATGCTGCCTCTCATAAAAATAATTTCAATCTTTTCATTAGGACACTTGTATGGTGAAAAATTGTATTCTGTTAGCATCATTATTATAATCATTATATGTTGAATTTCATCAATAAAGAATTTGTGGCATTTTCTCTCATTATTGGAGTATGTATACAATATCCTTGATTTTACCTCTTTGCACACAAAGCTTATACTGTCTGGCCCTTTATTAAAAAAATTTGCCAACCCTGTCAAAGTTTATTTTTTGAATGTTCTCAGTTCTTAGAACTCTGCTTTTTGGTGATCTTGCTGTTCATTTTACCTCCCTCTTGTTGCCTTAGACTCATTTAAATCTTTGTGATTTAAATTTCTCATTTTCCAAGCACTACCTCCTGTCATTCCTGCTTCATGCCTTAGTTAAGTTTCATCTTTTATCTCCACGAAAACCTACAATCCAGCGATTCTGCCTCCTTTTTACTATCCCTCGTTTTCCTTGTATTCTCATTACTTTCCTTTCCCAGTTTAAATTCATTCTTTGTTTATCATAAATTCAGTTCTCACATTTAGGCCTATGATCCATTTTGAGTAAATTTGTGTGTATGAGATGAGGTAGAAGTCTAACTCCTTTCCTTTGTATGTGGGCATCAAATTGTCCCAGCTTCGTTGTTGAAAACACTGTTCTTTCCTCATTGAAGTACCTTGGCACCTGTGTGGTTTTATAAGTAAAAATTATTTTAGATCTCCATAGTAATGGTTCCTTACGGCTGAGAAGTCTTTATGAGATTTTTAAAAAAGTGTATATGTATGTCCAATTTAACAGTGCTTATTTAGTTCATTCCCATAAGGACATGAGAAATGCTGGTTTGAGTTGAGAAAAAGAGAAACTTTACTTTTGATACTTAGTCTCTCATCTAAGCTCTTTTTACATTTTAGTAAATTAGATTTTTAAGAATATTTTCCTAGGATTCCAGTTTCATTTAACCAGAAATATATTTTAAAAGAAATGTAGAATTGAAAAGGTTGTACCCAAGAATTGTTTTGGGCTATGTATGGGTAACATTTCTTTTTCAAAAATCTTTTTAAAATACTATTTTGTATGATTGAGAAAAAGATTAGAAACATCAGCCACTCTACTGAAATAACTTAGTTCATATTGTTATAAGTTCTTGGTACTACTGGTCTCCATGGAAAACAGTATGTTGTATATACACATAATTGAAAGGCAGGGAAATTGAGTATGTCTGCTTTCAGGTTTTTCTTTTCAGTGGTATATGCCAATCTCTTTCATTTTTATATAGCAAAATATTCTTGAAAATTTTAATTGGATGATATTTTTAGTATAGGGGAGACTTTTTGTCATTTAAAAAGAGCCAAGTATGACAACTCTCAAAAGCCATTTATTTAGAGATTCTTGTGTTAAGATAATTCATTATTTTACAATATTTGTTTTTTAAACTTTCTATATCGTGTACTAGGTGAAAAACCGTTTCGCTGTGATGAATGTGGTATGAGATTCATACAAAAATATCATATGGAAAGGCATAAGAGAACTCACAGTGGAGAGAAACCTTACCAGTGTGAATACTGTTTACAGGTAAGAGGTTATTTGAAATGCTTCTTTTTTAAAAATATTTTTTTATTAATTTTTAGAGAGAGAGAAAGGGAGAGGAATTGAGAGAGAGAAACATTGATGTGAGAGTGAAACATTGATTGGCTGCCTCTTGCTTGCCCCCTACTGGGGATCGAGCCCTGACTGGAAATAGAACAGGCAACGCTTTGGTGCATGGTACGACACCCAGCCAGCCTAGCCACACCAGCCAGGGCTGAAATTCTTTTAAAAAAATCCACTTTATTGAGGTATGATTGACTCTTGAAAATTCTTCTAGCCTAAGTTAAATTATCAAGTAATTCTAATAAATTAGAAACTATCACTACTAGAACTACTTGAAGAACTTCCTAGCTGTTGTTGATTACATTTATATTAGATGATTGGCTCAGCAGATTAGTTTAGAATTGCTTGTATTATTATACTTATATCTATATATTAATTTCTTTTTTCTTCTTTCTTTTCTGTTTTTGGTTGACCAAAACCACAAACTAAAACAAAAAATCACTACCAAACTCTGAATTCGACAGTATTTTTCCAGAACAGATCGTGTATTGAAACATAAACGTATGTGCCATGAAAATCATGACAAAAAACTGAACAGATGTGCCATCAAAGGTGGCCTTCTGACATCCGAGGAAGATTCTGGCTTTTCTACATCACCAAAAGATAACTCACTGCCAAAAAAGAAAAGGCAGAAAACTGAGAAAAAATCATCTGGGATGGACAAAGAGAGTGCTTTGGACAAATCAGATCTGAAGAAAGACAAAAATGATTATTTGCCTCTTTATTCTTCAAGTACTAAAGTAAAAGATGAGTATATGGTAGCAGAGTATGCTGTTGAAATGCCGCATTCTTCAGTTGGGGGATCACATTTAGAAGATGCATCAGGAGAAATACATCCACCTAAGTTGGTTCTCAAAAAAATTAACAGTAAGAGAAGTCTGAAACAGCCACTGGAGCAAAATCAAACAATTTCACCTTTATCCACATACGAAGAGAGCAAAGTTTCAAAGTATGCTTTTGAACTTGTGGATAAACAAGCTTTACTGGACTCAGAGGGCAATGCTGACATTGATCAGGTTGATAATTTGCAAGAGGGTCCCAGTAAACCTGTGCATAGCAGTACTAATTACGATGATGCCATGCAATTTTTGAAGAAGAAGCGATATCTTCAAGCAGCGAGTAACAACAGTAGAGAGTACGCGCTGAATGTGGGTACCATAGCCTCCCAGCCATCTGTAACACAAGCAGCTGTGGCAAGTGTCATCGATGAAAGTACCACAGCATCCATATTAGATTCACAGGCACTGAATGTGGAGATTAAGAGTAATCATGACAAAAATGTTATTCCAGATGAGGTACTGCAGACTCTGTTGGATCATTATTCCCATAAAGCTAATGGACAGCATGAGATATCATTCAGTGTTTCCGACACAGAGGTGACGTCTAGCATATCAATAAATTCTTCAGAAGTACCTGAAGTCACCCAGTCAGAGAATGTTGGATCAAGCTCCCAAGCATCCTCATCAGATAAAGCCAACATGTTGCAGGAATACTCAAAGTTTCTGCAGCAGGCTTTGGACAGAACTAGCCAAAATGATGCCTATTTGAATAGCCCGAGCCTTAACTTTGTGACTGATAACCAGACCCTTCCAAGTCAGCCAGCATTCTCTTCCATAGACAAGCAAGTCTATGCAGCCATGCCCATCAATAGCTTTCGATCAGGAATGAATTCTCCACTAAGAACAACTCCAGATAAGTCCCACTTTGGACTAATAGTTGGTGATTCACAGCACTCATTTCCCTTTTCAGGTGATGAGACAAACCATGCTTCTGCCACATCAACACAGGACTTTTTGGATCAAGTGACTTCTCAGAAGAAAGCTGAGGCTCAGCCTGTCCACCAAGCTTACCAAATGAGCTCCTTCGAACAGCCCTTCCGTGCTCCATATCACGGATCGAGAGCTGGAATAGCTACTCAATTTAGCACTGCCAATGGACAGGTGAACCTTCGGGGACCAGGGACAAGTGCTGAATTTCCAGAATTTCCCTTGGTGAATGTAAATGATAGTAGAGCTGGGATGACATCTTCACCTGATGCCACAACTGGCCAGACTTTTGGCTAAAAAAAATTAAAAGTGTAAATAATACTGGCACTTTAGAACAGATTAATCAAGATTGGGGTTACTCTGTGTAAAATGGAGTGCTGTACAGATTTAAGAGCAACGCGATATAACAAGTTAAGCTGATATGAATAGCAAGATAATCCAATAACTGCGTTTTGTTTGGTTAGTCAGCATTCTTTGAACTGCCTTACATGTTGTCACCTTTATAGAAGCAATGCATTACTTGTTTTAGATCAGAAACTTGCTATTCCACCTACACCACATTTAAAAGGAAAAAAAAAAAAGACTTTCGCACAATTGTTTCCTAACTGATAACATTGTACATTCTTAGGAGATTAGTAATTGTGTGAAATTTACTCATACTGTTTAAGTTTTTCAGCATAGTCATTGCACTTCAGCAGGGAATCTGATTATACTTTACAGAGTGAACTTAAACGTTTAAATGTCAAGAGATTATGGCTTCAGTAAATTAGTGTGTCTCCTGTGGGGGAAAAAGAAACCAAGAAACCACCCTTTTAAAAAGAATGATATGCCATATACCCTTGATTTTCATTTTGCATTATATTGACATGTTTTTTGTTTTTTTTTAAAGAAGAAAAGTAATAAAAATCTGATAGTCTAAGACTCCACTATTTAAAATCTTACTTTTAAAATATGCATACTTTCAAAAGTTTTACCAAAATATGTAACTATTGAAGCATTCATTTCTATGGGAGTATGCATATGGTGTCAGTTTCTTTGTACAGTTGTACCTAGATATTTTTTATGATTTTTCATGTGCAAGTATAAGATTTTGAAGTTTTAGTAAGAAGATATTCTGTAGAGTACATTCCCAAGAACATAATGCTTATACAAATGTATATTCCACGTTTTAAAGCTTAATTGTATTTTACTTTACATATACACTTCAGTTAACATAGAGCACTTAGAATCTATTTGGTATTTTTGATTTCTCAAAGTAAAAAAAGATTTAGATTTTTAGGTTTGATGTGGTTGTGTCATAATCATCTCATAATTGACAATTTTAATTTTTGGCAATAAAAGGAAATTGGGTATCTTTGGAACTGTAAAACCTGGTTTAATCTTTTTCTTTCTAGAATCTTGATAGATTGGATAAACAGTATCCAGAGAAACGAAAGAAATGGGCATTTTAATTGCTTATTTTATTTTGAGTTAATATTTAATGAACACTGTTCATTACAATTTTACAAACCAAAAGTGTTTACTAATTCTAGTAACTACAATTTCTTTTTCAGCTAGATGAGTGATCGGAAACTTTTTGTTGCATTTCAAAATCTAAATAAACTACAGACTTTATCCTTACACCACGAATGTTTTATTTTTAATACTTTGTCTTAGAATAATACAGCATGGTACAATAAATAGTGCTTTTATATATACATATATACTTTTCTGAAGAATGATGGTTGGAGTTACACATTGGACAGTTAATTTTTGGAAAATAACATTAATTTTATTGATTTTGTTAGCCTATCTGTTCCAAGTTTTTTTGTTGTTTTTTTTAAAGTTTCGCCATCTTTGTCATAATGCACATACTGACATAGTACCAGTGATAATCTAAAATTAATACCCCTGGAAAATGAAACTTTATTGTTAGTTTCCAATTTAACTTTTATATTGACCCTATAGGTCTGTAGTCTTTGTTTCAGTATAGAATGTTATACATTTAAATTATTTTTCTTTTATTTAATGTTATTCCAAGACTGTTCTCATAAAGAAAGGGAACAAAGAAATATCCACCCTAAATATCTTTTCAGTTATTTTTAACATGTTGGTGTTTTTATGGTAAGGTATATAAATAAATTATCTTTAATGTGGTTTCCTCTACACTTTGGTTATTAAGCTTTGCTTGAAATACTCATTTTTCCATTTGACAGCTTTGCTGCCAGATTTTTCAAGAATTTTAGACTTCTTTGAAGTAGGTATTTTAAAATGTTCTGCCATTATTGACTCGTAATTAAGAATGGTGTGTGTTGTGTTGCACATCACAGTCGCGAGAAGACTTCATTCAGGTGGGTTGTTAAAAATGGAACTGTGCTCTCCCTAGATAGGCATTTGTATTTTTCTTACACTACTATTGAACGATAGTAGGCATTTATTTCCTCAGTTGATGTTTTTTGAGCCTGATCAAAATTTTTGTTCTATTGAGAACTTGATGTAGTTCTTGGTACAGTATAAAGCTTTTTGTTGGTTTGTTTTAACAGCAGCACAGTTTTTAGAATGTGACTCTACTGCTGAGCAGTTAGAGTAAGCTAAGGAAGGAAAGCCTTTGAAAATAGTAGTTAAGCAGAATTGCAGGTGTTGCATTCCTATCTTCAGCACGTTTCTTTAAATCTGTATAATGGCAGACATTTCTACCACATTATAAGCATTTTTGCGATAAGTGATACTTGGCATAACTTATTGACTCACCATTTAAGTATAGTTATTCTCTTACTGTGAAATTCTAAATGCCTACCAGAATTACCTTGTATTATTATCATATGATAAACATCTCAACATTTTGGGTTTCCCAGTTTGGTTTAAAAAGTTCCTTAATTTCTATTTGGGCATTAGGAGAGAAAGCAAGTAGCCTTTTGTGCTGCTTTAGGTCAGAATATTGAGGATATATCTTTTTGCAATTTGTGTTTCTCATTACTTTCAGTGAGCAAATTGTTCTTTTAAAACATGCTTTTACACCCTTAAACTTTTGCTGTGTGAAGGAGGTGCTTTTTCACTTAGGACCTACGTTTGAGGATTGGAAACAGATCCCGTTAGATGAGGTCATATCTCTTGCACGTCTTCGAAAAGTGTTTTGGGTTTTTTTTTAAACTTATTGCACGCATTTCATTTGGTTCAGAGTATTTGAGTAGCTATTAAATTTTTTGGATCTACTTGCAAGTTTTCTACTTGATGCCATAGAAAATCCATCCTTGTAGCTCTGGCTGAGGACTGCCAGTGGTCGGGTAATTTTCTCTTTGCGAGAGAGGCCTGTGCTCAGGGTAGGCTTTCATTTCCACAGGGGAGAGAAACTTGTGAAGTGCCAGCTAGGTTAGATCTTTCCACCTATTTCATTTTAATAATTTGGGTTTTTAAAGGGCTGTTTCAAAAAAAAACCAACAAGCCGGGAAACTTTAAAAGTAGGCATTACTGTAGTACTACATTTCTTAGACTTAGAACATTTTAAACTAGAGCTCATTTTTTCACAGTATATTTACTTGAAGAAGCACTATTATAATCAATGAGAAACTTTTTGACTCTGCAATTTAATTTAAACTCTTTTTCGTTTCAAATTACTTTATTTCAGGGAAATAATTTTCCAGTTGTTTTTGCTGTACTCTGCAAATAAAAACCGTATGTTTCCTTTATTCACCTAAACTTTGGTAGGAAACAAACTAAAGCAGACAAACATTTCTTGTTGTGTTTGTTGCTTTCTTTAATCCAATGGATAAAAAAGTAAAACCCTGTAAACATTATTTTATTTTTTTATGCAATACCATGCTGTACATACATATGGTTCATCAAATAAGGATGTACCTATGATTGAATCTTTAATTCTGCACAGTTAGAGTTTATATATAAACGTGTCTTGACAATCAAGGACTTTTATGTGTCTTCCTTTATGATGTTTATTAATGTTATGCATTCCATTTGTTTTGAAGTGAGTACCAATGTGCTAATTTGTATTGTCTGAAAGTATGTAATGTTTTTACAGCTTGTTTTTAAGAATCTGTAAATATGTACAAACAAATCACAGTACTGCTTTATGTTAGAAGGCATATGATGTTGTACTGTATGTAAGCAATAATACATAGCAGTGCTAACTTTACAAGTAGCATCAGGAAATTCTAAAAAACATTTCAGAGTTATCAATCGATTATCCTTATTTCATTTAATGATTATCTTTAATCAGTTTTATAAGCAAATTCCATTGTTCCTCCTATTGGAACGTAACACTGTTTACACAGCATAATTGAAGTTGCAGGGGAGACAGGCTAAATCTGACTTCATCTGTACTCACTTTCACTAAGCATTGAATGGCCTTACCACTCTTCTGCAGGATGGAGGAAGACCGCAAAACTTAGTGCCCATCACACTGAAGGAAGGGGGTGTGTCGAATTTTTTTTCCTGCTTCTGTACTGCTACCTAACATTGTGGTTTGCTTTGGATTTTAATATTTGTTTTTCTGTTTTAGATTCAAGCCCATAAGTTTTGAGGTGGCTTCAGCTCCATTGTGAAATAGATAGTTCTCTTCATATTTCATATCTACATTTCAGTAATTCTAAACTTTCTACTTTGATTTTTAGATATTTATTTTTCAAGCTTGCTTTCTCAGCTGATCAGATGAGCATTCACCTTCAATACAAAGGAAGACAAACCTATTGTAGTTTGAATTGAGTAGATACTGTACAGAACAGCTAACTATTTGAACTCACACATCACTGCTTTAGAAATAAAACCACCAATTTTTAAATGTATATGACCTACATTTTATAGGAGAAATGTTTTTAAATGCTAGTCATTTATATAAATGTGCTTTGAAGGATTTGCTAGTTCACTTCTGTCACTTTTTAGTACACTGGTATCTTTTATATGTAATGTATGCTTTTTATTGTAGCAAAGCATTTCAGTAGAAAGAATTTTACAACAATATGGGGGAAATTTTTCATTGTTGGATTTGAATTATACTGGATTTTATCTGTGTAGTCTTGTCTTTATTTTAATGCTGTCTGGAAGGGAACTTGGTATCCAAATAAAGCAGGTAACCTCATTTTACTTAAAGGGCATACTGTGTAGTGCTGAATTTAATCTGGAAATCCAATGATTTTGAAGAGAAAAACAAGTTTATAACAATTGTACAGAAGAAATTAAATGTGTGATGGAAATCCTGATGGTGGAGCACGTTGAATTTTCTGATATATAGTGTTATTTTCCTGGGATCCCCTATGCCTTTGTATTTCAACTAATAAAGGAAAAACCTTGTCATTGAAACTGGTAGGATAATAGGATATTCTGATTATACAGTATTACTATTCCTATCCCACTTTTTGACCCTTTCTCAATCACTGTAAATTTTTATTTTCTATTTCCTGTTGATAATTAAACATGTACATAATATAGACACTGTTGTATAAAACTGAATGATTTGAGTTGCTATGCTTGAATGGGTAACTAAGTGGAAATACGGATACTGAGAATTCATAAAATGCCAGAACAGATTTACAGGAAAAAGGGAGGAATCGTGTGTCCTGGGAAGGTCACAGCAAATGTTTCTTTGACTCTCTGTGAAATAAATGTGAAAGAATCAACCACAAATTTAGTATCTGATACAAGTGGATCTTTCCTTCCCCCACCTCCCCCCACGTACATGAGCGCACTAAATTTCAAAATCTACTCAGGTGAAAATTGCTTTGCAATGGAACTTATCACATTGAAATTTTCACTGTTCAAAAGATATTTGTGATATTTTTAAGTACAAACTTTCATATGAGTAGTCAGCAGCCTGACAATTGAAATTTGGTAAGTCAATATATTTTAAAATATATTTTACCCTCCAAATAGAATTGTTTTTAAACAATTGAGAGGGTTTTTTGTTTAAATGTATTTTTTTTATTGTCATTGTAAAAATAAAATCTTTGCTTGACCTCACATTATGCCATGAATAAATTGCTGAGCCTTTATACTACAGTGAAATCTTTTTCATGCATAATCATGGAACATGGCAATGTTCTTTAAACTGACCTATTCATTAAGAGGTTTAATGAGTGTCACAGCTTCTGGCTTTATTGTCATAGTTAACCTTGCCATTTAGAGTTTATAATACCCTTTTATGTATTGTGATGCTAAAGGAAATTGTTTTGTTTTATTTTTAATTGAATTATTAGACTAATTTATATTTGCAAATTCTGCATTTTAAATGTGGACACTGGCTGTTTGAAAAATAAAAAAAATACCCAAACAGTTTTATGAATAATTTCCTAGCTGAATTTTTTACAATATTCTGAACCAAATAACTAATGGTAAATGATTAAAAATGGTAGTATGCAGAGTAATATTAAAGAGAGAAAAGGATGTCTATAGAATTAACAGTTTTTTACACATATCGCTTACTAGTTAGAGCCTTTATTGTAGCTTTGTGTGGCGTGCTGTTGGGCAGTTCTGAAGTGGAGTCAACTGTACCGTCGTCTGATATTTTAGACTCAAATGTGTTTAACACAGAGCTAAGAATCTATGTGATTTTTTTTTTTTCTTCACAGATAAGATTCTGTTAACCTATCATGTGTGGGATTCCCCCCCCCCCC